TGTCACCTATTGTCCAAACTGCAGCCTTTCTGAGCACCACCTGGGTTCTGTTAATAATTAAGCTGGATACCAGAAAAATTGAAAGCAGGGAGTCGGACACATGTCCACCCATGTTCATAGCAGTATCAGGCATCATCGTCAAAAGGTGAAAACCACTTAAGCGTCCAGGGGCAGATGAATGGATAAACAATGGAGTACTATTCGGATGTAAAAAGGAACGAAATTGTGACACAGGCTGCAACAGGGAGGAACCTCGAGGACATTATGCTCAGTGAAAGAAGCCCGACACGAAAGGACAAATACAGCATGACTCCATTTTTATGAGGTTCCTAGTGGAGCCTGATTCACAGAGACAGAACGTAGAACAGAGGCTATAGGGGGAGGGGGGAGTTAGTGTTTGGTGGGCTCAGAGCTTCTGTCCAGGATGATGAAGGCGTTTGGAAGTGGGTAGTGGTGGTGGTTACATGCCATCCTGAATGTATTTAATGACGCGGACTCAAATACTTAACATGGTCAGAATGGTCAAGGTTGTACGTTGTGTCTGTTACTGCAGTAAAGAAAGTGATTAGGAAGTGGAGGGAAGGCGTAAACTGGCGTGTTAAGGTCACCACACACCCCCCGATCCCAGATGGTCACTTGGGCTTTTCTTCCCCAGAGGAGGGTGGTGCTGTGGTGGGCAAGGATGTTGCCCTGGGCCTGGGAGCCTGGGGAGAGAGCGACTGGCCCAGAGTGGCCGACCCAGTGGAGTAAGGGTGAGGCTGCCCCAGGGGTCACCACCCCCACCGCAAACCTACATTTCCTCCTCAGAGTGTGGCTCTGGGAAGGAGGGGATATGGTGGTCCACACACCCCCCCCCCCCCCACCCCACCATCCCCTTTCCCAAGGGGTTGCCAAGTAGGAGCAGTGAAAAGTAGCAGCAGCTCGTACTGTGTGACCTTGGATAAGTTACTTAACTTCTCTGAGCGTGAGTTTTCCACATTTAAAGACCAGGGCTCCCTCTTGCTCTACTTGCCTGAAGTGAGAGTCACCTTGGACATAAATGTGAAACCTCTTATTTTTCTGTTAAGAACTTCCCTTTCCTATTAATAGCATTTGATGAAGCTTGGGTGTGAAACAAAAACAGGTAACAGGGCCATGGGGAAGAGGGTGAGGCCTCAGCCGCAGGCAGGTCACTGGAGGAGGTGGATTGGACACAGGTCTGGGGGGGCGGGTCAGGAGGTGGCGTCTGGCCTTCGTGGAGGGTCTGCAGGCAGCCTGGGGCAGTACAGCCCTCCTCCCTGTGCCCCCCAGCCCACGCTGAGGGGAGACTCCGAAGACCCCATTCATTCAGGAGTATTGGTTGAGTGTCCCCTCCTTGTAGGTCTCTGGAGGCTCAGTGGGGATCCATACATGTCACTGCCATAGTCACTGGAGCTCACGGTCTGTGGGGGGGCATGGATGTTAATCAAATATCGCAGGAGTGATTGTGAAGTTACAGGGCTGATTAAATTCAGTGAAGGTCTCAGGTTGGCCAGACTGCTTCCAATGCATTTCAGAAAAAGATCACTCTGGGGACCTCAGTTTCCTCATTTGTAAAGTGAGTGGGTGGGACAAGAAATCTGTGCTGTCCAGTATAGTTGCCATATGCCGTGTGTCATTCTTTATTTGAAATTAATTAAAATTAAATAAAATAAAAAATTCTGATCCTCCGTTGGACCAGGTGCATTTCAAGCACGCCAGTCACATGTGAAAACAGTTGGTGATTCTGCCAAAAATTAAACATACGATTACCGTTTGACCCAGCAATCCCACTTCTGGGTTTACACCCGAAAGGTTTGAAAGTAGGGTCTCGAAGAGATATCTGTACACCCATGTTCCCAGCAGCCCTATTCGCAGGAGCTGAAACATAGAAGCAACCCAAGTATCCATCAAGGAATGAATGGGAAAGCAAACTGTGGTCCATCCATACAGTGGAATATTACTCAGCCTTCAAAAGGAAGGAAATCCTGACACGTGCTACAACATGGATGAACCTTGAGGGCATTAAGCTCAGTGAAACAAGCCAGTCACAAAAAGACAAATACTGTATGACTCCACTTAATATGGGCTACCCAGAGTAGTTAAATTCATAGAGACAGAAAGTAGAATGGGGGACTGGGGAGTTCGTGCTTAATGAGGACAGTTTCAGTTTTGCAGCACTCCTGATCTGCACACTTAAAATTGGTTAAGATGGTACATTTTGTGTTATGTACATTTTATCACAATTTTTGAAAAGTCACACGTGGCTGCCACACTGGATGGTACTGGAGTCGCCGGTCTCCGCCATCCCATCCAGCCGGCTGGAGCCCCAGGGGCCTGCAAGGGGTCGCAGACAGCATCTCTGGGCGAGCTGGCCTGCCAGGGCCTCTAGTCTCGCCCGCGGCATCCTGAACGCAGACCCCAAAGCCTCCTGGCTGGGTGGGCATAGAGGGAGGGTCCTGTGTCTGCGGGCCATCTGGGTGGGCACAATTGGGGTTGCCCACCAGGGGGCCTCCCAGAGGAGGAGGGACCTTACAGGAATGTACCCTCACCTGTGCAAAAGGCCAGGCCTTTCCCTCAGCAGGAGGGATGATGCTTGTCATGTTTTTATGATTATTTCTCAAGCAGGGCCCTGGTGGGCAGGATGTTTGCTTTGGTTTGAGTTTCTGCAGTGGTTGTTGGTGCCTGTGGAGGGGCCGGCTGGAGTCTCTCTCGCTCTGCTGCTCCCAGGGCCCATGGAGGGAAGTGAGGGGGTTCAGGGGACGCCCCCCACCCCACCCCCCCCGTGCTGCTCGGGAGGGGGTGAGGGGTGGAGGGAGATGTAGGGGTGGGGTGGGGGGCTGGCCCAGTCCCGGGCAGAATGGCTCCCAGACCCGCAGACAGATGGAAGCAATTTTCGGTCACGTGGGGCAGGGCTGAACTGCCGTCCTGAAAGACAAGGCCCCACGTCTGTCTCCAGGAAACAGCCCCAAAGCCACACGTTCAGGCCAGATGCAGCTCTGGTCTTTGTCTATTTAAAGATGCCGGACCCCGGGGCAGAGTGTTTCTGAAGAGGGAACAGAGGCACAGGCCTTCCGGGCCACGCAGGGAGGAGGCCCGTGAATGGCGGTCGAACGGGGGTCCTTGCCTCCTGGGCCCTTCGCTTTTCCCTGGCCTAGGGCGGTGGTGGGGGTGGACCTGGAACCAAAGCCTCAAGCATCAGCCTGTTGTTAGGAGAGATGCCTGCGCCCCCTGGCAACCCCTGGCGCTTTTATCTGCGTTATGTTACTTGCTCAGCA